CTCGGCGGCGGGAAGCGGGCCGAGGGAACGCGAAGCGGGGCGCGGGTTCCCGCCGGCGCCGGCCCGCGTGGTGACCTTGGCCCGCCGCCGTGGCCCCGAGGAACTTCGCACGTTCGGGCGTCCGGCCCGGTGGTGCGGGCGGAGGGGGGGGGGATGGCGGCGGGCCGGGCGGCCCCGGCTCGGCGGCTGAAGTCGCGCCGGGTTTGTCCGTTTCTGCCCCGGTCTAAAGGGCGCGGATCTGCCGCCCCCGTGCCGGGCTGCGGGTCCCGGGAATGGGAAGCGAACGGGGCTGAGCCGGTCCGGGCCCTTCCCTTGGCGGGTAGGGCCGAGCTTGCAGCCGGTGCGGGGGACTCCCGAAGCGGGGGTGTGGAGCTTTGCTCGGTGGTTCGGGCGGCACTGGTGTCCACCAAACGGTAGTGGATAAAACCGCGAAAAATTCCCGGTAAGTAAAGCCTTCCGCTGCCCGTAACGTGTAGATGCGCAAATCTGCTTCTGAGCTTTCACTTCGCCACGTAAAACATGGGTAACGGTGAAGAGACGCCGCTTCGAAGCACGTGCGGGCACAGGAGCACTCCTCGGAAAACCTCCCCGCTCTGCCGTCCTCAGGGTGCCACGGGGAAAGCGGGCAGAGCCGGGCGCCGAGCCTGCCCTCGGCCACGCTGCCTCGTGGGAGGTGAGCTGCTGCTGGAAGGGGAGAGGAGCCAAATAGCTGGATTTCTTCTCTGAGTGCTGCTTGCATGGCCTCCTGTGTATCCTGAGTGGAAACCTGCGCTCTGACGTGCCTTGACACTGCTGGAGTGCTCATGCCATGCTGGGGAGCCCTAATTAGCTGGCTTCATTGTAATTCTATTGAGGCTGCCTCAGTGACCCAAAACCGGTATATGCTGTTTGTAACAGAGCTCCAGTCGACATGAGGGTTCTCTAGCCGTGCAAATGGAAGAGGAGCTGAACTTTGCAGCGTGATGCTTTTAAGAGCAAAATCTGGCTGTTAGGGAAGAGGCACGTTGCCCCTGACACTGATGGCAGCATTGCCTGCTGACAGTCTGGATTTCCACGTGTTTGGCTTAAATGACTGAAGGTGGAGGTGGTAGTGCTTTTCTGAGGTTTTCATTTGTCAGAAAGGCTGGTCTGCCACAGGTACTGAGGAAAGCTTGTAGGGCTGCTTCATCTTCATGTGACTGAAAGCGAGAAGGATGTAATAAAGCTGGGAGGTTTTCGTTTAATGTCTGTAGAATACATCATCTTGAAACTACAGTGCTACTACATCCCACTTACAATTGTCTGTCTTCATAGTCTGAAACTAGGGTTTTTTTTAATTAAAAAGAGCGCCTTTCCAGGGTATATAAATGAAAGCAAAATTAGTTATGTAAAACAGATTTGTAACTGCTGTCTGGGGGTGAAAATCTTGTTCAGCAGATGACTTTTGCAGTGTCCTCAAACTGTAGGAATTGTCAGGATACCTTCCAGGAAACAAAGGCAGGCTTCCAATAGATGCAGCCTACGGAGTGGACAAGGAAGCACAAGGACAGGTTTGGAAACTTCTTGAGTTGTGCCGAGCCACAGACAGTAAGACTTGAGATTCAGCTCGTGAGTACAGCATGTAAGAAGCTGCTTTGGTGCCTGTGGTTAAGCTGGAGACTGGGGCATCTGCGCCCAAACTGTGGCTCCTGGTGGTGTGGGCAACCCACTGCAGAGCCCCCATGGATTTGACAGAGCAGTGAGGTCTCTTGCGTGAAGCTGAGCATGCATGTTGCCCATCAGTGGGAAACTGCTGCCGTGAAGCTTCTAGAACCTGTTCTACAGTACCATTGCCACGATTGTCTTCTGAATGTGATGACTAGAAGAGGCAGTCAGACGCAGATGCGTGGTGGCTGTGTCCGTTTAGGAAGTCACCAAAACGCACGGGTGGCAGCAAGCGTAGATTGGATGGAAGAAATTCTTGCTGAATGTGGAATGCAGGCAACTTGTTCCCTGGGCTGTACGCTGCTCTAAGTCTGCTGTGGTTTATTGCTCTGTGGGATATAGCACATTTAAATTAAGTTCTCCGTTTCAGAGAAGTCTAAATCCCATTAGGATGTGGGGACCATATGTAACCAAAGCACATACTCAGGTTGGTGCTGTTGGCGCAAGGCTGAGGTCACCTGGGATTAGTTTGGTTGAGCAAGAAGGAAGAAACATTAGGCTCTCCGTGTAACAAGTGACTATGCTTATAAGTCCTGGCAGTGTTTCTTAGTGTCTGAAAGAAAATAGAAGATTTTCTGTGGGTGTAGGGGAACCATCTCTCTGAAGTGCTCTGAGCACGTGCACGCCTTACCATTGGCTTCTGCGTGTGCGGTTGTCGCCTAGGAATCTCCGCGTAGGCAGGCAACGCAAATTAGCTGCAACTTCCGTCTCATCTGTAACTTTAGTTAGCAATTCCAACGTATCCTGCATTACTGGTTTGAATGGTGAGTCCTGACTAAAGCACTTCACAGATAGCCAAAGGAAGGCTTGCATTCTACCTTTGGGAGGATGAGAGATTTGAAAAAACAGGTGAAAAGAGAGGCAACTCCAGCATAGCTTTAATTACAGTAGGCATGTTCAGGGTGGTAAGTACTAAATATCTGGGGAGGCAGCATATGTTTAGTGTTAGAAATGTGAATTATGTTCTAGTAAATTTTCTTTGGTCTCTTTCATTCCTCTCTGGAGGTCGGATGCATGCAAGTTTCCTTCAGTTCTAGGACAGTTCAGCAGGATTTTTTCAAAGTGCTGTGAACAGGCTGTTCATGCCTAAAACCCCCTGATCTTGGCAAAGATACTGAGGTCATGGCCAAACCAAAGCTACAAGACTGAGGAATGTGTGCAGCTCCCTGTGAAGGCTGGAGATATCTCCATTGACATTGAAAATGTTTGCGAAGTGTTAATGCTATTCAGCTGGAGCCCCTGCATCATCATGGGCCCGGACACTGAGATTTCTGTTCTGATAACAGTGCATTTGAGTGATAAACCAAGTTCCATGCAGTGGGATTCTTGTCTTCCAGCAGCTTGAGAAATAGCTGCTGTGCAGTTCCGAAATGCAGAGAGACACAGAGGGAACAGAGCAGGTCATTTCTCATCTTTTTTTTTTTCTTTCCTCTGAGAGTCTTTCAGTCCCTATTAGAAAAGGGAACTTGTGTCCAATAAGGAATTAAAAATACCATAGTAAGAAAATTGCTACTCTGCTATTGCTGTACTTTACCTGAATAAGTAAATGCCTTAGCCTGAAAAATGCTGCTAAAAGGGAAAGCGTTAGGTTTTCACCCAGTGGGACAGTATCTTGAAATGAAAGGTTGCATTCAGAAACCACTTGTTTTTTATGTTCTTGGAAGTTAAATGCTCCATTACTGGCCTCTGATCAGACATTTTCTGCACTTGTAATGGGTGCTAATGCTGGAAGAGGCAGTTGTGGCCACTTCTGCTGCTGTACTGGCCTTTCCTTGAGCTCACGACAGTGTTTGTACAGCTGAATTGCAAAGTACTGGTAGTGCTGATGGAGCTCAAAGCTGACTGGGCTGGGTTTCAGCCAGGCCTGGGCTGGGTCCTGATTCAGATTGTCCTACAGGTACATGGGTAGGGGGAGCAGGGTAAGAATAAGCAATGGGGCAAGGGAGCAGGGTTTCTTTGGGGGGATGGTGCAGCTCTCAGTAAGTAACTTTACTAAATGTGTCATGGTTCGATACTAAGAATTGAATCAATTGATGATCAGGCGAGTCAAAATCTGTTCTGAAAGCTTAGCAGTGCTTACCTTAATAAACATTCTGAAAAGTTAATTATTCTTTTATCAGGTTACTGTGCTGTAATTCTTAGAGTGCAATACTGAGACCAAATGTCCACTCCTCGGTGTGTGAAGTGGAAGCCACTCTGTCACATACAGATAGGAACATTAGCTTTTTTTTGTGTCCTCGTGTGCTTTAGCTTCCTGTAGTCAGTGTAGTTGCAACAGATATCATGGTAAGTGACCATTCAGCTCAGAGCATTTAACTTCAGTCCAACTTGCAGGTAGGTCTTCAAGGTCTTCTGTGCAGGGGCATTAGCTACGAAATCCCAGTTTTGACCTTGCACCTCTGGAAGATAGCCAAAGTGTGAGAAGCACCCGTGGTCTTCTGTGCCTTAGCAACAGCAGCTCATGCTGGGTGGCTGTTAGCTTTCTCCTGGAATGCAGACGTTCAGTTGTGGGCTTGGCCTGCGTTGCCAGGAGAAGAACTGAAAGCCGGGGGGGGGGCAGGGGGGTGTTGGTGTTGGCTGTGGCAGAGATGTGCCAAGCTGGGATTGCTTTCACCAGCTGATCAAGTATGGCTGCACTTGAGCACTGCAGGTGAGTTCTCACTGTAGAACTGGAAATGCACAAGAGTTGTTCAGGAGCCCTGCAGCGTTTTCTGGTGCCCTGGACAGGCTGTTGCTTGTTGTGGTGTTTGTGGAAAGCCAGAAGGATACCAAAGAGTGTGAGACGTAACGTCTGTTTATGTCGAAGGTTGTAGCAAAAGTCAGAACAGTGATTCTTCAGCCCTTGTACCTGTGCTGACTTCAGCTGGGTCTTACTCATAGCAAATTTGTTGAAGGGTCCATTTTTTTTAGTAGTATCAATGTCCAAAAAAGTGGGCTTTTCAGTGGTTGTGCTTGGGTTTTAACTCTTTGGGTGAAAAAAAGCATAATGAAGTCTGCCTGCGTAGTGGTTAGATGTGACTGAAATCTTGCTATCATCTGTAGTACCTCATCTTGAAAGTTTGTCATCATTTTTATTTGCTGTAACATTTATTTCAGTCTCAGAGGTTTTGATAGCTTCTTCAAGGAACATCAACATGAGCTTTTGGGGGGTGTTAAGCACTGAATGCACTGTATCTCTCTTTATTTTTCAAAACTGTTTTCAGCCTTAGGCATCTTTTCAAGATGATTGATAATAAGCTAGTAATGCAGCTTTTAAGAACAGGAAGTCTTTTAGTTGAGCTTCTTGAAATGCAATAAAAAAAAAAATCAAACTGCTCAAGTTGTATATCAGGAGAAACACAAGGAAGGCCAGTGTTAAGTTTATTGGCAGCATGGAAGAGCAAGTTTTAAATTTTTTTTTTTTCAATATTGATGAGAGATATACAAAACTTGATTTGAACTTCTCTTAAATGGTCTGTTCACAGGCAGCCTGCTTCTGCGAAGTGGTACGACCGAAGGGACTATGTCTTTATTGAATTTTGCGTTGAAGACAGTAAAGACGTTAATGTAAATTTTGAAAAATCCAAACTTACATTCAGGTAAGTACCTTGGGCCTTCCCTAAGCTGAAAGGCATGGGGTGATATCTAAAGGCTATGCTGATACTGATTAGATGACATTTTTCTTAAAAGTAGTGAGTTCTGTTAATGAAGCATATTTGTTCTATAAGGTGTTTTGTGCTAAACACAAACTTTTTTTTTCTCTTAACAGTTGTCTTGGAGGAAGTGATAACTTTAAACATTTAAATGAAATTGACCTTTTTAATAATATTGATCCAAATGTAAGTATCCTTTTGACTCTCCTCTCACTGTATTCTTAGTGCTGTATCCTGAAAAGTACTGTCCATTCTTTAGGCTGCTTCCAGTATGGTGGGCAAATTCTTCCTTAGACTGTAAGAGCAAATCATGAAAGCATCTCTGGACAGTGTGTTTCAGGACAAAGAATAAGCTGATAGCTTAAGACAAATTAGTTTAATAGAAGCGGTTCCTCATGAAGTTTGTGATGATTATACTAACAGATACTTATTCTTTGCTTTTTCAGGAATCAAAGCATAAAAGAACAGACAGATCTATCTTGTGTTGTTTACGAAAAGGAGAATCTGGTCAGGCATGGCCAAGGTTAACAAAAGAGAGAGCAAAGGTGGGTTTGGACTCTGTGATAGCCAGGGCAGCAGTGCCTGCTGCCTCCCCTGGTTTTTAATTTTGTTTAATATTTGGGTCATGTTTAAATTATGTAGCAGTTAATGGGTCACTTAACTGTGCTTCTGATCAGAATGGCACTTCTTATTAACCTTCCTTTTCTAACAGTAACAGCTTGTTACTCGCTTGTCCTTAAATAACTTCTTGTGTTGATGTGCAGCTCAACTGGCTCAGTGTGGACTTCAACAACTGGAAAGACTGGGAAGATGATTCAGATGAAGACATGTCCAATTTTGATCGCTTTTCTGAGGTACGGGAAGATGAGTACCTGGAGGCTTGGGTTTCCTTCCAGGCCGTGTGTAGGCATGCAGGGACTGACAGCTGTAGGCAGCGTAGTCTTCCTTGGTGTTCCTTCTCGTGGTGCCGTCCTGGCCGCTGGTTTTGGCGCATTCTCTGCTGGTTTGCTGAGGCACAGCTGTTGCTGGCTTTAACATGAGCTGCAGGCTGTTGGCACGGCAGTGAGATGACCAGTTTGTCTTTGCTGTCAGATATGAAAGGAATGTATGTCCCATTGTAGATGCCGGCACTAACTCAGTGCACTGGTTGGTTTGCAAGGCAATTAATTTGATTTTTTTTGCATGCTCCTTAATTTCTGCATAGTTGCAGCTGATTTGTCAAAACTACTGGTGGCTGTTGGTTGTTAACAATTTTAAGTTATTTTTAGATTTTTACCGTGCTGCCCAAGTTCAGGTAGCGAGCGTGGTTGGCTGCACCCTGTAACGTGGCTATTATCTCTCTGGAACAGATGATGAACAACATGGGTGGAGATGATGACGTAGACTTGCCAGAAGTAGATGGGGCAGATGATGTAAGTACTTTGTTTGCAGTAAATATGTGCAGGGCTGGCTCAGTGCCCTGCACATCCATTGCTGCTTGCTGAAGTCAAACTTGCATTCCTCCTTCAGCACTGTTAAAAGCTTAAATAGCACCAAACTTTATCTGGATAAATGATGTCACCTGGCAAAGTCATCTTCCTCCCTTCCAGCAGTGGTGCAGAGGGCGGTGGTGGTGATGCTTGCAGTGCCCTGAGAGCTTGGTGTCATCTACCTCCACAGTGGCTGCTGGTTATTGGGGGTCTGTAGGCTCTAGCCAGTGAGGCCAAACTAAGCATGTCCTGTGGAACCTAGAGTTCCTCAGAATACCAGCTCTGATGGAAAGCATGCTGGATACTAGACTTTGGAAGTGGCAGCTCGTCTGCTGGGTTGGTGGTAGAGGGGTAAAAGTGCATTCAAGTGCAATCTGCTCCAGTTAATGTTTCTTCTTCTTTCCAGGACTCGCCAGACAGCGATGATGAAAGTAAGTTGGCGTTCTCATTTGTTTCTGTGCACTGTGCAGCAGTGTGAGTGCTTGCCGAATGCTCCTAGCTGAGTGAGAGCCCTGAGCAGAGCCAGCAGATGTTCTGTCCTGTCAGTCTCGCTGAGCCCAGGCTGCGAGCTAATGCCAGTGCCTTGCCTGAGTGGTGTGAGACAGTATAATCCGGTGAAAGCCTTTCCACACAAGCATGAAATACCAGTTTGACCTTCCCAGCCAGCTGTAGTCCTGGGGAGGCTTTGGCTTTGAGCAGCAGGCATGTGCATGGGGCATCTGTGTTGGTGGTGCTGGCTCTGCTCGAGTAACTCCTGTGCACAGCCAGTGCTGTCAGCATGGATCTTCCTTGCGAAGAACCAGAGTGAGGTCAGAGGCCTTGAACTGCCCCATGCCCTTCTTGGTTGAGGGCTGGATCTTCTTGCTGGTGTCCCTTGTGGTATAGTCGGGTTCCTGGTAGCTTTTTAAAAAACAAACAAACAAAACCAACCCACTAATGCTCTTCTCTTTCTCTCCAGAAATGCCAGATCTGGAGTAAGGAAAACTGTCGTCTTCAGGGTTTGGGGAAAGAACTTCATCACAACATTTCATAATTGAGATAAGAATTCCTGAGTTGATAGCCCTAAAGGGAGATCCTGCATCCTTTAACCCATTTTCAGTCCATTTTAAATGGCTTCACTGATGGTAGGTGTGTACCATTGCACGGGGCGGTCCTAAGCCATGAGAGGCAATAACGTTATGCATGAACCGTTTTCCAGACTTCCAAAAGAAAAAAAAAACAATTGAGGTGTAGGCAATCGATACAGAACAGTCGCAATAAAGTTTACAGAGCCTCCTTGCCTCGTAGCAGATGTAATTACAATGGGAGAATCCTGAATTCACACCAAGTGGTAAATGAGCATTTTTTTCCCCTCCGCGGCCTGAAATTGTACGTTTGTACCGGGAACAAAACTGGCTGTAACACAGATGTTGTCAGTGGCTTGCCAGATTCAGCAGGCGATGTGCAGTACCTCTGTGGTGTCTTCAGGTCTGTTCCACTAAAGTTTGTATTGAAAAGTAAACAAAATTCTCCTCGTTTGGTGTTTAATGCTGAGCCGCGTGGCCTGGGGTAGGGGGCTGGAGCCCATCCCCTGGTACCGTTTGACCCTAAGGCTTTACACCTCCTCCTCCGGGGTGCGAGCGGCTGTACGTTGTTGCTTGTCAATCTGTACGTTTAGACCAAACCGTATTTGCACTGTGGGTGTGGGAGCGAGTGACAGACGTTGGGCGCGCGTGGGCGGCTTCGAACCGGGCTGAAAAACCTCAATTTATGTTCAGAGCAGCGGGGATTTTTTTAATGTCTGCATTCTTTCTAATAAACTGTTGAAGACTCCCTGGCTTTCCTCCTGCCTGGCCCCCGCCTTCACCCACCCGCACCTGGGGTGGGCCTCTCGCCCGTGGGTGGGTGCCTGGGGGGGAAACGGGACACGGGGCCGGCCCGGTGCTGTGGAGGGGGGGCGCTGGGCGGTGCTGTGAGCTCGGGAGACGGCGGCGTTGGCGGGGGGGGGGGGGGGGGGGGGGGGGGGCCCGGGCCTGCGGTCACGGCGCCTGCCCCAAGGACAAACGCGGAACACGTGCGGCGCTGCTTCCGGCGCCTCGTCGGTCGGGTACCGCCCCTTCCCGCCAATGCCGCCCTATCAATTCGTGGTCTTCCTTAACGGATAGAGCTGCGGCCAAATCACGAGGAGGCGGAAAGGGAGAGCCCAGACAAGTCCGGCCAACGGGAGAGCGAACGCGGACGGTGCGGCTCAGGGCGACGGCCAATGGGCGCGCGCGGCGGCGGGTGACGTGCACGGCGGGCCCGCCCCCCGGGGGCCGGGG